CCTTCATAAATAAACATTTTCATAAAAGTTCATCAATATGAAAAATTCAAATACAGACTATACAAAAAAAAAATTAAAATTAAAATAATTAATCTGAGCCGTCGAATTGTATCACATCACATCCATTGGATCTAGGGCTCAACAGATCATCCCAATATATAAAAGCCGCATCACATTTCTCACCTCCTTCGGCCGCTCCTCCACTATCCTCACTTCGTCTCTACTGTCGAAAATGGTTCAACGGTTAGTTTACCGGTCACGCCACTCTTATGCCACCAAGTCGAACCAACACCGGATCGTCAAAACTCCAGGTACGTACTGACACTCTTATATGTGTAGTAGTGATTCGTCAAAGATTGATCAAAACTTGAAATCTAAGATTTTGGTTGAATTTGGGTTTGTTAAAGGTGGGAAATTGACTTACCAGACGACGAAGAAGAGAGCTAGTGGACCCAAGTGCCCTGTTACTGGCAAGAGAATCCAAGGGGTACACTTTTTTCTTACTTTTTATTCAATTTCATGTCTTATGTGTTTCAAATTCGGTTCATGTAGTGGCCAATGTGCCTCAGTTTTAGTCATCTGCGGTTTGGTTATGGCATGTAGACAATATATGTAGCTCAAATCCAAATGTAGACCCGGAAATATAGACGATTTAGGGCTTTAAGTGAAGAATTTTCTAAGCTTCATACGTTTTTGCCATTGATTTTGAAGAAACAATGTTTACATGGCGACTCCTTTTAGTAGATTGGAATTGATATACATATTAGGCTCATCTTACCTTAACTTGATAAGCCTGCACTTAAGAGAAGCATCCTTGGACTTTGATTGATTTTCTCTTGTGTTTGTCTAATGTTAGTAAGATCCATAATGTCATTTGACTTGCTCACTGCTTGGTTGTATTATGAGTTTGTTGTTTCATTACCTGTATCCAGTCCCTGGTTCTAATCGAATAGTCAGGTGTTACATGGTTGCTTAATGTAACAAGCAGATGAATCTCAAAACAACTTAATAATCTCAATGGAAACTCAAAATCAGCAATTACTGGGCTTATTTCTGGAATTATTAGCATGATTTCTGAGGCTTGCTTTCATTGTTTGTCTTTTCAGATTCCGCATCTGAGGCCCGCTGAGTACAAAAGGTCGAGGTTGTCCAGGAACGAGAGGACAGTGAACCGCGCATATGGTGGTGTTCTGTCTGGAGAAGCTGTTAGGGAGAGGTAAGTCTATTACATGGAGATTAAAAGATTTTTTTTTAAATCCATTTTTTTTAGAGCATTGCAAGTAATGCTTCAGTCTTCGGCGCCAGGATTGTCAGAGCCTTCTTGGTTGAAGAACAGAAGATTGTGAAGAAGGTTTTGAAGCTCCAGAAGGCGAAAGAAAAGACTGCCCCAAAGAGTTAGGGTTCTTTGTGGAGTATTTACAATACATTATAAGAGTGATGGGGAGGAATGTCTTGTAGGTTTCAATAGACATGAGCTCGATACAGATTTTGCCAATTGCAGAAGAAAAATACAGAAGCAAAGTTTGGGTTTTCTTGGTTGAGATTTTACCCTCTCGAATTGTATTGGTTAGTGTTCATTGGTTTATTGATACAATTCGTCCTGATATTTGGTTTTGAGAAGAGGAATAAAAGTCTCCCAAGTAGACTTATATTACATGATCGACACACTTCAAACCAAATAAATAACGGCCTCAGTGATGTAGAGTTAACATTCATGGTGAATCATAAGAGTATAACAAAACAGGAGATTTGATCTACTTGCCGAATCTATGGTAGAAAATGATGATTTTTGGTGCAGGGATTTGAAGAGACCGGAAATGCTTAGTATGATATCACTAAAGTTTTCCATAAAGTGCAGACTGGTTTTGGATCTGGAAAATGCTTGATATGCATGATTTCTCGCTAGTAATCTTTCTCAATAAGGGCATTATTGGTATTTACACTCAATTGAGATTTGCTACTCTTTAGATTTGAGATAGAGAGTCAGGCAGGCACCAGAAATGTTCCATATATACTTACTATGTAGTTAAGAAGAGCTTCTTTCATCTGTTTTCATCAGTACTTATTTTCGTTTCTTTTGTTAAGCAAAAGGTAATATAGTCAAATCCACTTACCACAAAAAACTTGTTTGGGTAAAGCTTCTCTCTTTCTTTCTCTATGTCCCATGATGATGTATCTGAGCAATGGTCTGTTGCTTGTACATGGTACTGCAAAAAAGGGAAAATAACAAAAACGTTATACGTTGTTGCTTGGAAGAAGTCTACAAAGTGAATAAGAAAAAGTGGGAAAGCATTACTTCCTTATACTCAGAAACTGAAGGAATGAAGTGGCTAATTCAGCGTCGTTAGGGAGACCATTGTGATCGAAACCAAACGGTGGAGACAAGATGAAACGTTCCACTTTCACATCACAGACCACACACCTGTGTTGCTCTTCAAGGCTGTCTCTTCCTGCAGATTGAGTAACCTCTTGTTTACAAGAGCTGCACCAGAGTTTGTGTCGGCATGGGAAGTTTGCCCATAGAAGCATGCTCTTGTTGCACCAGAAACACATTCCTTGCCTTAAACTTGTCTCATAGCTCTGCAAATATGACACTTCCCTGGTGAGGAAATCAATGACAGGATTCGATATATGAAAAAAAGGAGCAGAGAGTGGGATTGCTCTTACTTGATAAAAGTCGAACTCACGGAGAAAGAAAATGGATGTGCTGTTTCTGATCTTCGCAAGTGTCTCTAGAACCGGATGTTTTAGCTGATGATGGTTGTTGTAAGATGCAGCCAAGAAAGGTTCAGGTTCTGGCTTCAAGGTCTTACTGACATGTGCATGGTTGCTGTAAGATGAAGCCAAGTGAAGTTGAGGTTCTGGTTCTGGCTTCAAGCTCTTACTGACTTGTGCATGGTTGCTGTAAGATGCAACCAACGGAGGTTGAGGTTCTGGTTCTGGCTTCAAGGTCTTAGAGACAGGTGTTTGTTGTATGAAGCTGTCACTGCATATAGGATCTGGCGTTGATGAGGCTTTCAGTTTGTTGGGAGAGCGAGATTCATTGTTACTGATGATGAGTGGCTCAGGAGGTCTTCCTTTGAGCTGAGGAAACTTGGAAGGTAACAGCACCCAGTGGGTTGCAGGTCCAGATTTACCAACGGGGACAACTTTCATTTGACAGAGTTTTGGAAAAGATTTGACGAAGTCGATGAGTTTGGAGAAACCAAGAGAGGAGTGATCGAGATCCATGCCAAAAGTAGCATGGAAATCAGCTTTGAGTGATGAGAGGGGATATCTAGTTCTTCCAAAGCTGTCTGATGAATCTTGGAGGTACCGAGGAAGCCACTTTTCGAACTTTTTTAGCCACAGTGGGACGGAAGTGCCCTGGAAACTGGTTTCTTTATCATCTGCTTTTGTTGGTGGAACTGCACTACGTAACTGCGCAAGTTCTGTTTCTTTGCTAACTGCATTTCACATGTGAGAAGAAAATCAAAATCTTTTCACAGTTGTTTATGTGAGAAGAAAATCATAATGTTCTCGTAGGTCGTTTTTCCTTATGATTTTGTCCATATTGAAGTACAAATACTTACAGCAACTGATATTTGTTGGGTTAAGGAGGAACCGTATATCTTGTGACTGTGTTAGCTCTATTGGTCTCTGTTTTCTGCACAAGATGTATGAAACATGTAGACCAGCATCAGATTAAGGTGATCACAAGAGGAAACCATAGCTATGATTTTTGTAAAACAAATGGTTCGAGTATCGCCTCACCGTAGATTATGAATTTCTGTACTTGCTCCACATTGAAGAAGCAGCTCAACGCAGTCAAGATGGTTATTCTTCACTGCAAAGAATAGCGGTGTCTCTTTGATTACTGTCTTGGCGTGAACCAACTCAGGGTTGGCTGCTAGTAGAAACTGTAGGCTCAAATTCATCGGAAGCGTCATTATCTTGTTTCAGCTTCAGATGAGAAATGCGAACAAGAAAGACAAGGAAACCATACCTCAAGTGCAGATAAATTTCCAATTGCAGCAGCAAAGTGTGCGGCAGATAAACCCAACTTGTTCTTTTGGGTAATTCGTGCACCGTGTGCAATAAGTAGGTTCATGATTCTGGATACGCAAATGTACTATTCTCAAGTTGGGAAGAAGTCATCATGTGACCTTATCATTAAGGTAATAGGGAGAAACCATACCTGGTTTGCTGCTTATGTGGTACAGACGATCCCTTTAGGCTGCATTGAAGAACAGTATTCCCTTCTGCATCTGTTTCGTTAACGTCGATGTTGGTGTTTACAAGCAGTTCAAGAACAGCTTCGTCTCCAGCCTAAAGAAGTAATGGTGGCAGATTACAGCATTACAACCCTCAATAATTCGCATGTGTAGTTCTCATAATAATGCTAATGAAGTAACAAACTCTAACCTGTACGATGGTCATAAGCGATGAGGTTTGCTTATCCACAAATTCACTAAAAACCGCAGCACCAAAGAGCTGAAGGAGCTCAATCTCCTGAAGCAAAAGCATTCTTTTCTGGTTGCATACACTTTGCATCGAGCTGTTACTGCGCAGCGCTTCTTGAATAACAGACTCATAGATTGTTGTTTTAGGCTTTGGCATAATATCATCATCATCCTGTAATGCTACAGTTGCCTCTCTGATCCTGTCAGTTGCTACTATCAGCAATGTAGTCAAAGGAACTATTGCACCTGCCCTGGCAAATGTACATGCCACTGTCTCCAAGTCCTTTGTCTTTTCAGCAAGTAGTTTCACCACAGTCATGTCCTGCATACATAAAAAGACTCAATTTTCCATGGCAAGCTTGCACAAAGTCTCTTCATTTCTTTCTACACCTATCTAATTTGTTCCCTTACATTCCATAAACAACATAGCTTCCTCAAGCAAACCAAATTACAGGAGAAGGTAACTAGCTAGTGTTTAACCTTGTCACCAAGCTGAAGTATCAAGTCTCCAATAGAGTCACCATTTGGATTCCAGGTCACATGTAGGCTGCAAAATGGATACGTGGATACATACTTAATATAGACAAAGGATAAAGGTTAATACACAAGAGGTAATAGACGATCATGAGTAGATTAAGACGCAAAAGAAAAGAAGAGGTTTCCAGATTTTCCAGATTAAGGAAGAGCTACACACATAATCAAGCTTTATGATTCGAGAGGCAATAAAGCAAAATTCCCTAATTTATCAAAAGTTGCGATGATTAGTCAATGCTTACTCTACCTGCCATTGCAGAGAGAGAGCTCCAGAGGAACCAAACCGCGTCCGTCTTTGCTTTTGATATCTGTACGAGCGCGTCGTTTAAGCAACATCTCCACACACCGTGGCGCGTTAGCCTCAGCAGCCGCGTGCAGCGGCGAGAATCCCGAACCGGCATCAACATCGTTGATATACGGAACCGATCCAACATCTCCGTTGATGATGGAAGAAGCGCAGTTGATAGAATCGTAACCGCAACAAACGTTGAGAAGCTTTAAAGACTCGAATCTCCCGGACTCTAACTCTTCTCCGTTGAAGAGGCGTTTAGCGTGGGAAACAAACTCAGATTTATCGTCTTTAAGAACAGAATCCAAAAACGCAAAGCTCTCTTTGTCCTCGGCGGCGTCGTAAGAACCATCCGGTGATATTTTTCCGGCGGAGTAGTGATTGTTGGGGATTTTCCCCCAGGAGTCAAAGATCTCACCGAAATCGAAATTCAGAGGTGCCTGCAAATCAGAAAAACGAAAGAAACGGAAGATTAAACTCTAACTCCACTTTTTCTCCGGCGAAAGACGAAGAACAAGCTTCGATCACGGAGAGTTTTTTTTCGCAAAAAAAGTTTAGAAGCAGAGCTTAAACATCTTCGCATAAGAAAAACTCGAAGTTTGAGACAATCGCACCAGTTCCATCTCCAAACCCTAGCTTCCGATTTCTTCTTCCGAAACGAAAATTCTCAGCGAAAAAACACCAAATTCTTCCCGAAATCCAGAAATGGAGTACAAAATCGAGTTAAACTTTCGTAGATTAAAGACTGAAAAACTGCTCAAGAGATTCTGATCGGAAAAAAGCAAAAGGAGAGCATTCTGGCGAACTGACTTGTTTCTGATGACAGAGAAGAAAGGGAAGACAAAACGGAGAGGGAAAATGCTGCGATCGTTAGACAACATTTATAGACGTGACGTGGATTTTAGCAGTAGAGCAGCAGTGTTAATCTTCTCTTTAAAATGACACTATTACCCTCGTTCGGTACACAATGGACCAATTATCATCTAAAGAGAAGAAGGGTAAATCTGGTAAGACAACTTTTTCTACTTTTTTCTCTGCAGAGTAGGCAAATCGACCTATTTCAATACATTTTCCAATTTCGTACTTTTTTGTTTAGAAATCATTGTGGCATAACCTCGTAAGTAACAAGTAGCATTTATTTACTTACAACAAAAAAAGTAAGCAATTACTTTTTCTTTAACAAAAAACAAAAAAGTAAGCAATAATAATAAAACCCTTTGCTTTCCAAACGGCAGATCAGGCGTTTGCGTTTCAGAATTTTACAACATAAACATAGAGAGACCAAAACTTCATTAGTTGAGAGTCTGGAAACGAAGTTAAGAGAAAGCCTAGGAATCGAATAAATTACTATATAGTGGCAAAACACACATCATTCTGGTTTCGCCTGACCAACTCTCTCTTTGTTTCCGGACGTGAAATTCGATAAAACAAAGCAAACGATTGTCGAATTTACTCCTCGAGTCGAATAGTTGTGCCTAGAAAAACGTTTATACTACTCCCTCTGTCCCAAACTATAAGATGTTTTAAGTTTTTTCTTTTATTTGTTCCAATATATAAGATGTTTTACTAGTTTTTATGCATATTTAAATGCCATTTGATTATTTTGACCTTTTGAACAATGTAGTCTTTTATGTGATTGGTTGAATTATATTTTTAACTAATTAATAAATGTTGTTTTGTTAAAAAAAAAATTTCTTCTTAATTCTCGCGCATTCAGCAAAAACATTTTATATAATGGGAGGTGGGAGTATTTGGTAATTTTTGTAAATGGTAACATCATCACTTATGAGCAGTAGGCCTGACTTTGAGGTGTGGACCGTGTGGATCATGGACCTATGATCAGTTCCAGCAAAATTCTAAAGAAAAGTAATTTTTACTAAGATTGAAGGAGCCCATTTCTTTCAACCAAAAAAATAAGATATAGGTTTGTTTGTTTTGCCATGGGTTCAAATTTGGAATGAGATGGGCATGCTTATGAGTCTAGATGTAATGAAGGAGAGAAGAAAAGCCGTTTATGAAGAAGAGATAACCAAACAGAAGATTCATGAATCTAAGTGAACACTTAATCCCTATATTTTTTTAATTGTTTTTGTTATGATTCCTTTCAACGTGCAAATGAGTAAGATTGATCTACCTTGTTTTAAGGAACTAAAATTACACATTCCATTTTTCATTTGTTTGTCGGAATTGATCAACCTTGTCATAGATGAAGTAGTGTATTAGACAACAAATCCACAAAGACCAAATCTTACTTTACAAATTTGCGAGAATAAAGTATAGCTAAAATTCATGGAAATATAAGTTTTTTCCTTTGATGC